TTAAATAGCTTGAATGCTTTAAGAACATGACAGGGATTAAGTGTCCAAATTCTAGAATTGTTAAAGAACTTTAAAAAGTGTCTTCAGGCATGTGAATCTACAGCTTTAAGACATCATTTGCTCTCCTTTAACCTCTTAATGTGATAATTATAGTAATAGATTTTTTTTAAGTTGAACCATATTTGCATTCCTGGAATAAACCCAACTTGATATGATGAATGTTGGTTTTATAGACTGCTAGATTCAATTTTCAAATAGCTTATATGGAAATGTTGAATTCCATAATAGAGCTATGGCTTTAATTTTCCTCAGGTATATGCAACAAGGAACGGTTCTTCTTTCTCTTAAAGAGATTTTGTTACATTGGAATTAACTGATCATTAGTTGTTTGGTAAAACATTGGTTCTGCCATCTGGTTTTACTGTCTTGTTTGGAGGGGGAGAGAGAGTTTTCACTACCAATGTCACGTCTTTATAATAGTTTTAGGACTTTCTACATTATCTATTTCTTCTCAAGTCACTTTTGGCAATTTATATATTTTTGGAATTCGCATATTTGTCTAAATTTTAAAGTTATTGGCATAGCTTTATAGCATTCTTTATCTTTTTATCTTTGGCACACAGACATGGTGCCCATCTTCCCATTCTGAATCTTACTATTTTCTTTTTCTTAATAAATATTATTAGATGTTTTTCAAAAGAATCGATTTTTGTCTTTGTTGATCCACTTTAGAGTATCTTTGTTTCCAGTCTCATTACTTTCGGCTAATTTATATTACTTCTTACTTATACTTTCTATGTGCTTATTCTGTTATTCTTTTTCTAACTTCTTACATTTGATTAAAATGGATTCTTAGCTCATTAATTTGTAGCCTCTTATCTTTTCTGTTTTAAGCATTTTAGGCTGTAAAATTCCTTCTAAGTAACCTTTAGCTATATTCCATGTTTTAATATATGTTTTCATAATTACATACTTCCAATTGTTTCCTAGTATCCATTTTCATTTATTCTTTGATCCATAAGTTATTGAAAAGTGCATTTAAAATTTTTCCAGATGTATGGAGTGGTTTTAGTTATCTTGTTTCTACAAATTTCTAGCATACTTGTAGTAAAAGAACATGTTCTGCATGTAACTGATTTTTTTGAAAAGCTTAAGACTTACTTCATGGCTTAGGATGTAGCCAAGTTTCATAAATGTTTTATTTGTGCTTGAAAAGAATGTGGATTCTCTAATTGTTTGATCCAGGATTATATATGTATCTAACTATATACATGTTTCTCAAATCTTTATCCTTACTGATTTTGTGCCTGCTTGATCTTTCAATACCAAAAAGGTCTACAAAACAGCTCTTCTGCTCTGATTGTGGATTTAACTGTCTCCTGTTTGGTCCCCAGCCCATTCTTGAACCATGGAAATGAAAGTTCTAGGCCTTCAGGAATCAGTAATAACATCCAGGGATTTTCGGCCTCCCTCCTGTGATAGCTCAACAATGCATATAGAGAAATGAAAATGAACTTTGTCTGGCATTTTTAAGTGTTACGTACAAGGATTTTTTAAAACTCTATCTAAACTTTGTATTGCCAGAAACATGTACGATCTCTAAACCTCATTTTTTCATTGGAAAATGGAAATAATAATATCTGAGGTTAAGGGTCCTCAGGAAATGACGCCAGGGCAGAGATCTGTACTCCGGGAATTTGTTGGGAAGTTTAAGTGGCCTTAGCAGAGAGTGTTATATCTCATTCACTCATACCCACCAAGCTGAGCATGAACTTAACACATTAAAGAGTCGATGGTTATTGAGCTAACCCAAATGGCATGAATCTATTTTCCATCATATACAATGGATGTAACCTTTTCATAAGATGGAAAGCTGCAGCTAGAGTGTGACATAAGACGTGGGACCACTGGAGCACCTGGCAAGAGTTGTCCCTGAGCTGCCCAAGAGAACCAGAATCCTCTAGAAAGTTCCTACATCCCCTGGGCAACAAAGCCAACATGGAGGCACCGAGAACAACCGTCAAGGACTCTCAATTACTTCTAAAAGGCCACTTTTATGCAGGGCATGGGGAATATAGAAATCTCGGGGGCTGAGAAGGAAATTAAACTCTCAAGTCGTACACCTAGAAGCCAGAAAAGCATAAAATCTTAAATGATCTTAAATGGGGAGCCCCTCCTTGATGGAACACAAGTATATACTTTGCTGCTTCAAAGTATATACTTAGAATGACAAAGACAAAGGGATGTGTCTATCCCCCCGGGTCCTGGTCTTTGCCCAGATTCCTACTTTTTCTTGGGAATATCCCTTTCTTCATCTCACTGCTGGTTCATGAGCACCTGACATAACCTGGAGTGGGCAGGAGTCTGTGAGTAAAAGGCCTAGGTGGATAGGAAAATTCAAGGGCAGTTTTCCATTGCTTTGTTCTCTCGGTTTAGATTTATGGTATTAGCCTCTTCCTTCTGAGACACATGCTTTCACTCCCCTTTCATTCACAGTTGCTTCCTCAGGATTCTAAACTTTCAGCCTAAATTACTCCACACAGTGAAAACAGCATAAAAGGAGAAAATTGTGTATGCCCTTAAAACTCTCCTGTGCAGGCTCACAATGGAGGGCTGACATATCTCAGTATGTTCAGTGTGGCCAACTACTCCCTCCGTGTCAGAATAGACGGGTTTCTCTGACTGAGTTTGGCTGCTATGTCATATGAAAATGGTGTTATCATTAAATCCCAGAATCCCACATCCCACTCAGGGCAGGGCGATGCTTACTCTGTGAAAAGTGTTCAGGAACTGAGACTGATTCAGAACATAGGCCTTGCTCGTCCGTGACTTGAAATGGTAGAGGCAATTGCCTTCTTGCTTAAATTACTTTCTATCTCTCAAACCCATATAGCTACTTCTTTTTTTTCAGGTTAAACACATCAATGGTCTCTTTCCACTAAGTGGGTGCACTAAACCTCCACTAAGTGAGGTGCCCAGTACCTCAGTTATGGTGGTGCTATTACAACCCGTTGGTTGATGTCTGGGGGAGTAAGTTCCTTTCTGATTTCAGTGCCATTGTGTCTGGTCATTGTTGTTTTAGCTGCCAACTCTCCAACCAGCTCAGCTACTGTTCTTGACCTCTTCTACAAAGACTAGCTTTGCCCTCCTACTCTCTCCTAATTGTATGTAGGCTCTTCATTTCAGAATAATGTGTCTCAGAATAAGACACTTAAGACCACCTTGACTCCCATTTTTTCCTTGTTTGCATATAAGCATACTTCACCACTCTACACCTCCACCCCAATCCAAGAGGTTCATATTTATCTCTAGGTACATCAAAGCAAGTTCTCTGTTCAAGACTGTTTCAACGCCAGCCCTTGAGGTTTTAATTTTTACAAATGCTTTTCTTTTTTTTTTAAACAAGAAGAACTATATGAACGTATGCAAAAAACATACTATGTCTTAGACACCTTTCTTTCTGAAAGTTAATAATGGTACAAGTAGCCTCTAAATTAAATCTTGTTATCCTCATTTTATAGAGGAGGAAACTGTGGCTCACAGAAGTTAAGGAAATTGCCTGGAGAGCAGATAAGTGCCCAAGCCAGAATTCAAACCCAGATTCTGTTTGGTTTCCAAACTTGGTCTCTTTTTACCACAACTTTCTGCTTCAAAGACTTTAGGGTGAGTCTCCCAGCCTCTATGAGCTTTAGCCTCCTCAACGCCTCATTAAAGGGAAATTAAGTTCAGTTATTTTGAGGTGCTTCCATGCTAATTCTAGGACAAGGGAAGAAGAGAGGGGCAAGTCAAAGGGGCTGGGAGAAAGGGGGAGGGGCAGCACAAAGGGAGTAGAGGCTTTGCGAGTTTCTTATCTCCCTATTTCTGGTTCTATTGATGTATATTTACTCTGCTTTCTGTAACTAATCAGATCTCCCTTTGGAAGTTTACCCTCATCATGTTCTAAGGACAAATATGAATTTTTCTTGTCATTTAAGAGAAATACAAGCAAGTGTAGTGTGAACAAGCCTATTTTAAGGGAGGCATACTTCAAAACAATTTATGCAGTCATCGATTGTTATTTTTCAAATATAAAAAGGCACAACCTCCTTAGTCTTTACATTGAGTTTCAAACTACTATGAATTTAAGCCACTGGACATACAAAGTGAAAACATACCCCTGTTGAAAATAAAACCACAGTCCAAAATGGCAGCACTCAGGCCAAGTCACCAAACCAGGACTTAGTACCTAACCTGTGCCTCCCCCAGAAATTGTAAGTTTTAACTGGTCAGTAAGGAATTTTCTGATCAGCATCAGAGGTAATCTGCGACTGGGGCCCTCTCCAACCTGCAAAGGAAGATGAGGTCAACCACCTAATTAAAGCCATTGCCTTTCCCCTTCAGGGAAGGTGACCTTGCCTGAAATAATCCTTTTTATTTCTTTTACTAATAGCTCTTTGCCCCACCCTCCTTCCTATAAAAACCCTCTATTTTGTACAACTCCTCAGAGCATCTCTCTACTTGCCGGAAGGGATGCTGCCCAATTCATGAATTGTTGACGAAGCCAACTGGATTTTTAAATTTACTTGGTTGAATTTTGCTTTTTAACAACTCTGCCCACCCCCAAACAAAGCAATAAAAGCCAGAAAACAACTCTTTAAAAAAAGACTCCAGTTAGCCGCTCCTAATAATCGCAGCAGAATAACTGGCCTCACGTTCCTGCGCTTATGAGGAATGGAGATTTTCTGAGTAAAAGGTTCAGAAATCAGATCCATGTGAGGACAACAAGCGTTTTGAAAGGCGACCACCCAAACCAAACAATAACTTTTCACTTGTTTACAAAGTGTGGAAAGAAATACAGCCACCCCATCGGTTTTTCCACCAATTTCATACACACACATCACCTTGCCATTATCACCATCATTAGTATCAGTTCTAAAAATTGAAGAGACTGGAAATAAAATTCTTCCTGGAAAAATAACAACCAACAGATTTCACTTTAAATGTAAAGGAGCAACAAAATTTATTGACTGAATTAAACACAACAGTTAAAATGGCAGTGTTGTATTTTCATTTTAAGATGTTTGAATGAAACAAGAAAAGTGCTATTAGTCCAAGCTTCTTACATTCATTAAAAGAGTGACTATCAAAAACAGCAACATGCACAATGATACATATGCACAAAATGGAATTATATCAACAAATATATAAAATACCCAAAATAAAATATTTACAGGTTTAAAAATATAAACATTGGTTCATTTATCCCATTAAATCATTGGAGTGGAGAAAGGAGAAAAGATCCTATTGCTATTTAGAATCCTTTTTTAAAACAAGTTTTAAAAACATAGAGTAGTTCTAGGAGGTGATTTTTGATGTTTGGGGGGAATTTAACATTCTATTATAAAAATAATATCTATAAACCTACTAACAATTTTCCTCCTGTGCACAAAAATAATACAGCCAAAAGCTTGTCCTCAAAGACATGCCTGACTTTCAGGAAAACTAATTATAGAAATGGAGTTTCTCATTTGGGTCTTCTTTGTCATTATTTTCAAATAACCTGCAATTCCTTATATTACACTGAGATATCCCATATAAATAACTTGGTCAAAAACCTGAAGTTAGCAATGAGCCTGGTAGATAGCTGGCGTCAAGTAAAAGTGACAAAAATTTACTTTGCCTATAACATCAGAACCATTTTCCCTGATGTTCTTGATAAAACGACCACTCTCAGATCCTTCATGTTCAGTTAAATTTGTCCTGGAAGCAATAAGAATGTTATTGTATTACTTTATGAGAGTTTCTCTTCTTTTCTTTAGAAATAACTGTGTAGTGGGGGATAAATGGTTGCAATGTAGATATTTAGAAAGTTCACTAATTGCTTCAGGCTACCTAGGACCATTTCAATACTTAGGTTACAAGTATTTACTGTGTGTCCACTCTGTGCCCCTATGAAATCTAACCAGGTATTTTTAGTATCTCTGCTTTAGCTTATTAGATGATCCAGGTAGGTATCTGAGAAAGTTAAATATGTCTCCAATAACCAGTCACCTTGGCTATATTTTATTAAAAATGTTATCTTCTCACACAAAGCAGAAATTTACTTTACCGATTATTATTACCACAAATTACCCCAGTTTATATTTTAATAGAATGACCACCTGTTATTAAAATCTTCCACTGTGTCTCATTAAAATGAGGCCTAAAATTCATTTTAAAAGCACTTTACCTAATGTAGGCAGGCCATACATTAGGAAAATAACCTCCTTAATTATGACCATGATGCAATTTCAAATGGATTTTCCCTAAATACTGGAGGTATTAACAGAATCAGAGTGGGATAAAACAGAGGTTGCACGCTGCTGGATTCACTACTGAAATTGCTTTTGGTTTTATTATTGGCAAAACAGACATCAGATCACAAAATCTGTACTTAGGTCTGCTTGTATGGAACTCTAAAGTAATTGATGAATATAGTCCACAATTTTGACTGGCCCAGGTGAGAAAAAAAACCTGCTAGTCTCTGAGCTCTCCCTTTTAGGCTTGCATGTATAAAAGCCATCAAAGAATTAAAAATAAAAATACAAGTTCACTTTTAACTAAAACAGCTGTCAGTCGGATGGTACCCACAATTATACAAATCTGGGGTGGCTCTTGCAGTTCAGAACTTTGATCAGTTTCTTACTTAAAACAAGTTTTATAGAAATTGAATCATATGGCTTAAAAAATGTATAATTAAAGCAGAAGCTATAGAGTTAGGTTTCTGATTCAAATTCTGTCCATTACTTAGGAAATGGGTGACTTGGGACAAGGTATTTCACCTTTGCGAGCATCATTTTTTTCCTCTGCGGGATGGAGCCAATACCCACCCTGCATGGTCCTTGTGAACAGTCGTGATAAGAACGTGAAAGAAAGCACCAAGCAGCATCCTGGCACAGAGCAAACACACAGTATATGTTAGTTTTTCTCCTTCAATATAAAATATTCAAATTCACGATGACTGACTTCTAGGTCTTCAATAATATTAGTTGAGTGAATGAATGAATTGGAAAATATGAGCCAGGATTCAATGGCCGTTGACAGAATGTAAGATGCGCTACTTTGGAAAGAGCCAGGAGCTTATCTCTGAAGTTCAGAATTGTATCCAGGCAAGGGATCATCAGCTAGTCGCTATTTAAACAAACAACATGGAACAGTCAGAGCAAGCCTAGAGTGGGCTCATGGTGGAAAAACAAGGGCAACGTGCTTGGAATGACGACATCCTACAGGGAAGAAGTGTTACCATGACAACAGGAGAGATTTCTGCCTATATTTTTGGTGTTAATCTCAAGAAGGACAGGATACTGCCAAAAGAAAGCAGAGTGTTTGCCTATTAACTGTGCCTGGCTTCTCTGTCAGTGATATGAGCACCATCGTCTTGGACAAAAAAACCAATTTTCAGCTTCATGGCATGGGTTAGCTTTGTTTCTATTGGAAGTGAACTGTCATGACATTAAGTAGTTCTTAGCTCTTGTGTTACTCTAAGTTACAGAAGAGTTTATGTTCCCATCCCAGAGGCTAGGGGAAAAGAGAGAGAAAAAGAAAGAGGGGAGGTGGGGGGGAGATGAGATGGGATGGAAACAAACAAAAAGAATGAATTAAAGATGGCACATTAGGGAAATAATATTGCCTAACCCACGTGGCTGCTAGGAGGACCATGTCAATATTTGTAAAGCTCTTAGTGGTCACTGGCACTTAGCAAGGACTCAACAAATGTTCATGATTGTTATAATTGCTATTATTATTTTGAGAGGAATTTGTGTGGCTTAATCCATACCACTCCTGTTCAAGTTCGCCCCATTCTGCTCCACCCCACAAACCATAAGCAACAAATGGAAAAAAAAATAGGTAATATAAAATAAAGATGTTTTTCATGACTGTTAAGAAAATCCAATCACAGTACAGCTATGTGAGAGCCTAGACTGAAGGGGTTTTTATGAAGTATTAGCACAGTATATACCCCAAGAACACAGGTTGCATTGAATTAAACGTCGGTCATAAAATATGCCCAGTTTCTGTTCTGGAGGCTTTGTGACTATTTTAATCTTTCCTTTTTCAGTTTGGGAAAGAACACTTTTCCATAATCATGAAAACTATCACTCTGAATCACTCCTTAAAAGCACTATCTGGAGTGAGATAATAACATTCTTTATAAGTGGCTATAGTTGCAACAAAGCATCTCCTTTAAAGCATTAGCACAGTGCAAAGGCTTTGAGAAGCAATTTATGATGGCCTTTGCAAAATCCTCAGAGGCAGACGGGCGACTGACCTTGAGGGGGAACTGCACTTCCCACCTGACAACGTTACACACAAGTCCTTTTATAAAGTAAATGCTGGCCTCTTGCTTTCCCACACAGATATACAAGCCACCGGTCTGCCATGCTAGCTTTGGGTCCCAAACTGTCATGAATATTTGTGCATAAGCAATCAAAAATTCCTAAGGCCGAGTTTCCACAAATAAGAACGGTGTTGTTCATCCCTTGGTCTGTCTGACGAAGAGGGAGGGGAAATGGGTAGGCCAAGGTATTAGGGTTTCTCCTCTTATTTCATGTAGGTACTTTGAATTGGTCATTCCCAGTGGTGATAAGAGGCAATTGTGATGTGTTCTCCTTTTGTTTAAGAGTATAAAATTCTTGAATTAATTTCTTAAGAATGATAAGGGGAGCAAAGTATCTGTGAAGGTATTGGAACATGCCTTCGTAGAAACCCAGCACACGTGACCAAGGCCAGATTGTCATCATTCAGGAGAGAAATCTGGAATGACTATAATCAGGAAATGTGTTCCGCTATGCAAGAGTCAAAGATGCCACCATCATGACAAGTGTCCCCTTATGGCTATCTGAGGGCACCAAGCAAACATCAAACATGGTGAGTACAAAGGGAGAGGACAGAAAGCTACTTTAATCAATCTCTTCATACAAAGTTAACAGTCAAAAGCCTCTGAGAACTGATCTGACAAAGACATAAATAACAAAAACTCAGATCAGTCGAAGAAATCTTGATACCTCATATAGTTTTTTTTACCTTGGTAACTGTGCAAAGGGTTATTTGAATATTCATTTAAGTGCAAATACTTCAAAACTACTTCTGAGATTAAGGAAGAAAGGCTTTAGACCTAGTAAGTCATCACTCTCATAGATGTTAAACACTTTGTATTTAAATAGGCAGATAATTTGTGGAAAACGTATCTAAAGGAAGTTCTTAATGTCCCATCTGTCATTGTTGTCATTAGGTGAAATAATAAAAATCTTTTTCCTCTAGCAATTGTTGAAAACGCTGTAGTAAAATTTCTCCCAGTCGGTGCTAATGGGAGAATAAAAGCATCCAACTGCCATTAGTACTGATGCTAGAGTAGTTCAAGTAGCATTGTCTGTGTAATGTAGTTATTAAAGTCAGGCTGTCTTTGTGCAGAGCTATTAAACTCACTGATAAATTCAGGGCCAACAACTGATTTGACATTTTCCTCTCTAATTTGTCCAGCTCTCTGACTAAAGAGACCTAATCAACTAAGCATCTCAGAATCACACACACACAGCAAAGGTATCATCAGCCCATATTTAATCTTCCATTAAAAAAAATCAGCAAATATGGCCAAATTAGGAAATGTATTAATAATAATTGGAATATAAATCTATTAAAATGCTGGAGGGAAAAAAAGCAATCTCCAGGAACATGAATGAGAGAAAGTAGCCCTTGGGGCACGCGCCCCCCCCCCCCCCCACACACGCACACACACAAAGCAAGCAACTGTGGGTGGAAAAGGTTAAGATGCAGGCTTCCTGCATTGGTCCTGATTTCCCATCTAGCTACCGAGGCCATTTAATTAATTGCCTTCATCCTTCATTTGACTGGTGTGGGTGGAATTCTTAAAGATGAGAGTTTTTTAAAAGTGGAAAACATATGGAAAAGAGAAAATATTTTACATCTTGTATAACTGGTTAATAGGCAGGGGGAAATGAAGGTAAGCTTTGCTGACATTTTCCTTTACTTATAACAAGAAGACACAGCATAGTGGTATAATGGCAGAAATAAGCCCCCAAAATTATGAAAGCAAAACCAGTTTGTCCCAGTGCTAACAAAATAGATTTATCAATAGATTGCCTTTACTGTTAGAATATTCTCATCCGTACTTCAGGTGCTCCTAACTTTCCTGTACAATTGAACGAATGAACAAATATAACTCTGCCATGGATTCACACAGAGGAGAAGATAACCCTCACAAGAAAATGCACAAGAAGAAAATAAACATCCTCTGTTTTACGGCTAGGAATAAAATTTATGTTCTTTACATTCACTGGGGGAAGATGAATGCATTTGGAGTCTAAATCAAATTTAAATCCCTTTCTCAAGACAGAAATAATTTGTAAAATATTTCCTTGTGTACAGTACATGCCTTCGTCTGTTAGTTTGTGCACAGTTGAGGGCATAAGCACGTGTGAGTGTGAGTGGCTTGATGAATTCCTGTTGGTGGGTTCAGAGTGCTTAAGGCTATGTCTGATTATAGGACCTCATCTGTATAAGGAAATTAAATATTAAAACAGTACTTTGAAATAACATTAAGGATCTGACACAATGCAATAAAAGCCAGTAATCTGACTACTAAAGAAATTCAACAAATCTCTACCACCTCTTCTCATTGAATCATTGCAAATTTAAAATGGGGAACGATTTACTTTATGCTACTGGCTCAAATTTGTTTGCCTTTGATGTCCATTTATTTTGTTCCTTTCATACTATTAAAACAGGTTTCCATATACTTAACTTGCCTCTTTCCTTCCTTTATAAAATAGAAAACAAGCTTAGAAAGCATATAATATCAGTTCATTACTTAGGCAATCTCTCTGGAAAATGGGAGCTAGATAGAAGTGTTTGTGCCATTCGTATGCATGTAGTTTTGCTTGAAAATGTCTAATCTTCCTGATACCACGAATCCATTCCTAGTAGAAGCTCCGGTCTTTTGATTAAACACACTCAAGTGCATTTCAAAGAGGATATTATATAATCATTAGATGCTAATAACATTCCAGGAACTGCTTCAGTTAATCACTCAAACTATCCAGGCATATGGTAACCCGTCCTGAAATCAGTCTCATCTAAAATAATAGAAAATATACATATAAGGAAACCACTTTTCAAAAAAAAATCTTGACGTAAAGTGTTTATGATATACACTTGCCAGTGTCATATTCTGAACACACCTGTCTCAATCATGAATCTATAAAGCAAAAGTCAAATAACATGAAAAACTGTATTTTTCTATTGTTTTTTTTTTTAAAATATGTTCCTCATTTGGGACTCCCCATATTGTAGAATGGTTGAATCCAAAATTTTTATAACCAAGGTAAAAATCTCTGAAAACCAGGATTGAGACTGAGAAGCAAATAGTCTTTTACCCAAGACAAGACAGAATCATTCCTCTGGGACATCAACACAATAGACTTTTTTTTTTTTTTTTCCTGCATTGAGAGTCAGAGATCCCATATAAAACAAAAACAGAATTGCTTTCGGTTACAGTACATAAAAGAACATCAGTGGTCCGGGACAGTTATCATAACTAGTTATAAAACCAGATTTTAAATTCGAGGTTACTGACAGATTATAAAATGTTAACAGCTGGATAAACTGTAAAATATGCATTATCTACACATGAAAATGTTACAGTTTATAAATGCTAAAATACTGTGTCTATTGGCATTTTAGTGAAATCTTTCCCTGATCCTCATTTCTTCACTGGGTGGGAAAGAAAAAGAAAAAGAAAAAGAAAAAACCTGCTCTGCTGAGCTTCTTATTTCTCCCCAGAGGATCTAAACCAACCAAACCAAAATGCTCCTTTATTGTCCTAGTGGTAGATATTGACCTATTTGCATACCCAGCAACTGAAAGTAGGCAAGTTTTTGGCCAATCAGGGATCCCCTCTGCTCATCAGGTAAATACCTGGCTCTTTCAGCTTTGCAGGTGTTTCCCACACAGTGATACAGCAAAAGGTCTTTTTTCTTTTCTTTCTCTCTCTCTCTCTTTTTTTCCTGGAAAGAAAAAGGAAAAGAAGGAAGGAAGGAAGGAAGGAAGGAAGGAAGGAAGGAAGGAAGGAAGGAAGGAAGGAAGGAAGGAAAGTGTCATGGAAGAGGAAGGGCTCCTCTGGTGTTGGCAGTCGTTCCTCTAGGCCCTCTCTGGGCCCTGGCCCCGCCAAATATCATGGCATGATGCTTACATAGGTTTGGTTAAGTCCTGTTTTCTGCAAAGGCAAGTAAAGGTGACTTCCAAGTGTTCAGTGCATCAAAGGAAAAAAGAAAAAAGTGATTTTTTTTAAAGGTAAAAAACTAAAAGTGCTTGAAAATAATTCTCAGGGAACTTATCTGGAGAGGAGAATCCCATGTGTAGCACCCCCTCTCTGGTGTATCCTGCCCCTGCTGGCGGCACAGAGACCTCCTCGGTCTAGGCTCTGGAGCTGGGATGGTCCTAAAAGCCTTCCTTTAGGAGAAGCAAAACTTTTTGAGTGGTTTCCGGGGAAAGTTGTATTCCTTGACATGGGGTCTGTCCACCTTGGCTTTGGAGACCTCACAACTTTTTGGCACTGTCATGGCACGCCGCTGCCCGGAGGGTGGTCCCGGCCAAACCCCGGTTGCTGACCCTGCGGACCAGCACTTTGGAAACTGGGATTTTTGTTCTGGGCATCTCACTCCTGACTGGTTGCTGGTGCGCTACGGGATGGCTGGATGGAAGGTTCGCGAGGTGCTTGATGCTGATAGGGATTTTAGAGTCCTTCAGCAAACTGCCTGGTGTTCGCAGTGGACAGGTGATGGTGACTGGAGACACAGGCTTTAAGCGGGACAAGCAGGATGTCTCCTCGTTGGCGGCAACGACGGCCGGGCTTCCATCCGGATCTGCGTAGAGATCGTAGAGCGCGTCTCCGCTGTAGCTATCCCGGGGGATGCCCGCCTTTTTGCCGCTGCCCGCGCTGTCTTCCTCCGGGCCCGGAGTGGTGGAATCCCAGTAGCCCTCGTCACTATTGGGGATGCCTTCCTGCTGCTCCTTCTCGGGCTGTTTAGGCTCCTCCTTGGGATGGAGCTCGATGGGAATCCGGTTGAGCCTCTTGTGCTTGCCCAGGGACACGTCCTTGGCCCCTTCCGCACACCTGGCGTCTTTGGACGTCTCGGCCACCACCTTGGTTTCCAGGGCTGCCGCCGCCTTGGCCGCTCCCTCTTGGGGCCCTGGTCCTTGGTCCTCAGTCTGGGAGAGCATGTCCCAGAATTCCTGGAGATAGGTGTCGTCCAGCTCCTCCGGGCTCGCCATCTCCTCCCCTCCTCCTTGGTAGGCCACCACGCCGGGGTTCTTTTTAGAGAGAACTGGTTTGCCTGGCCCGGGGGCATGCTTGTCACAGCTGGGACCTGCCTCGTCCTCTTGGTCTGCAATAATATCTCCACAGCCTGTAAGAGAGTCAAAGCTTTTCAGTGAAGTCACGTCAGAAAACATCAAACAAATACGATCGGCCGATGGGTCTGAGGGTGGATCAACAGAGGAAGGGTCAGGGACGGCCGCCGCTCGGCCGCTGCCGCATTCCGAGTCGACAAGGGGGACGGTCTCTACCGGAACGTCACCTGTCCTGGAGGCATCCTCGGCCGTCTGGACCGCCCCAGCGCCCAGCTCGGGGGGTGCCCGGGGCTTCTCGGCGCGCCGATGCCCCGCGGCGTCCTCTCCCCGGGCGCTTTCGGCCTTAGGGACCCCGGGGCTGTGGGCCTCTCGGCGGTCCGGCACGTGGGCGCTATCGGCGGAGGCCGGCCCCGGCTCTCCCCCTCCGAGCTCACCTGCTGGGTCTCGCGGCGCGTCCCTGCGGGGCTTCTCCGGCTCGCCGGCGGGTCCGGGCGTTTCCTCCTTGACGCACTCCAGGCTGGCGGTGAGCGAGCCCGGCAGGATGAGGCCGCCCGGGGCCGCCGCGCGCTCGCCCTTCGCCTCCGCCTTGGCCCGCTTGTCCTTCTTGTGCCAGCGCATGCTGCTGAAGAGCCCCTTCAGCCCTCTCTTTTGTTTGCCGCCAGCCTTGCTCGCGTCCGCCGGCTCGCCCTTGCCGTTCTCCGATCGCCCGTTCTTCTTCAACAGGGAGAAGAAGCTGTGCGACTTCGCCACCGAGCTGTTGGCCAGGGAGCCCACGCCGGTCCCGGCCGCCCTGGGGGGACCCGGGTTCGGCCGCCCCCCGCTGCGGCCACCCCCGCCGCCGCCGCCCCCGCTGTCGCCCCCGCCGCGCGGCTCCTCCTTCTTGCTGCTCTCCAGCACCACCACCTCCGCTAAGCCGTCGTGGGTCCGGCTCCTCACCATGCCCGTCGGACCCGAGCCTTTCCCATCCCCTTTGTTTTTGACCCCAAAAATGCTGGGCATGGTGCCACCCGATTTCCTCTTCTTGAATAATTTGAAAGCAGCTTTATTAATCTTCCCCGACGGCTGCTCGGCGGCCGGCGTTTCGGCAGCACAATCACAATGCAAGTCCATGTCTGCCGCGAGGGTCCGGGCCCCGGCCTCCTCCTTCCTCCTGCAGACCCCCGCGGACGCGCGATCGCCGCCGCCGCCGCCGCCGCCGCCGCCGCCGCGCTCGCTGACAGCCTCGCGGCCGCCGCCGCCGCCGCTGCTCCTGCTTGTCTCCATGGAAACCGAGCGGGCTAAGCAGCTTTCGTCAGCCGTGGGCTCGCGCCAGGCCACTGTCATCCGTATTCTAAATCAACCTGAGCCACTCTCGCTGCTACCGCGGCCACCGCCGCCGCTGCAGCCGAAGAAACACACAGGAAAGACCATCTCCCCTCCCGCCAAGGGCTTATATAATACCCTAACCCACTTCGGATCCGACTTGGCTTTGTGCTGCATAGTTGTGTGTGTGTGTGTGTGTGTGTGTGTGTGTGTGTGTGTGGCAAGAGCAGGCAACAGAGCCTCGAGTCGATTGCAGAAATCAGAGTCGTCTGTATGGAATTCAGATTCCATCCAATCTTACCCACCTTCAGATTCCTCCTCTAGATAGGCTCTTTCCAGAAGCCCAGTCGTGGATCACAAGATACCCCCAAAATGGACAAAGAAATTCAACCCAGTACACGATGGCTATTCCTCTGAGCGCCTATCTGGACTTCATGAGTCTTTATGTCTTTCGCGAGCCTTTCATGTCTGTCCTTATCATTTGGGCACCAAGCCCAGCAGGCATGGACTGTGCCTGTTTACATCTGTGTCTTGTCCACCGCTGAGCACAGTCTCCGGGTGGATGTTGAATCCTTACTAATGCGGTTCTGATTCTTGCTGCAAAAACACCAGCCATCAGTAGAATACCAATTAGCAACTCTGCAAGGAAAGTGCAACAGTTCTGTAAGGTGGGAGTTGACTGGTCCTTAGGGACAACCCTGGCTTTTATCCCAGGCCCCAGCTCCTGGGGCTCAGGTCACAGAAGCCACTGCCTAGCCTGCATTTTGTCACAATGGATGAGTGGAGGATGGAGGACACAGTTTGAGAATCTCCACAGGCCTCCAGGGTCTGCCTTCTTCTTCTTTTCCATTATGCGGGACATGGGCTTTACTCCTGCCCCCCCACTGCTGCCACCCTCTACCTCCTTCACTATCCCCCCAGGGCTTCCTGTGGCCCCTTTCCCCTATGGGACATGGAAAAGCCTGGCAGGATGCTGAGTGCCCAGGAGTCTCTGCAGCTTCTCTGACCCACATAATCTGGGGAAAATGGAAACCTTGTCCCAAGGAACAGCCCAATCTGGGGATCTTTTCTGTATTCTGACTTCGAAGGTGACTGCTAATATTGTAACCCTGACACCTAATTTCCTGATCCTAACTGAAGGCTTATTAACAATAAAAGAAGAAATTTGGAGAAGCACATACATATGTATATATATAATTTATATATGTTTAATACTTAATAATATGTGATAAAGATGTAATATTAACATATCATTTATTTTATTCATAAATATTATTTAGCAATATGTGATATTGACATATATGTGAATATCCATCTTTTCCCTAATCATCTCCAGCTTCATTTTTTATGAGCTACTTGCATTATACCCAGAAACTCCATTCTCTCTGGGTTGAAGTCGGAGTTTTACTAATAACATGTTGGCCAAGGCAGGTCCTATAGCATGGAACACAGTTGGTTTGAATTTAGGCCTGGGGGTTGTTAGCTGTATACTTGCCGTTCTCTGTTGATTTTTATCAAGAACATTGTTTTATAAAATTTAAAAAATAAGGAGTTTGGATTCAGGAGAGGTTTTCATTCTCAGCATTTTTTTTTTAAGATTTATTTATTTATTTATTTTAGAGAGAGAGAGACAGATAGCATATGAGTGGGAAGAGGGGCGGAAGGGAAAAGGAACAGAATCTTGAGCAGACTCCCTGCTGAGCTTGCAGTCCAACTCGGGGCTTGATCCCACGACCTGAGACCATGACCCAGAGACCATGACCTGAGCCGAAACCAAGAGTTGGACACTCAACCAACTGAGCCACCCAGGCACCCCCATTCTCAGCATTTGAATCTGACCAAGTCTCTCCCACTATCGGCACACATGTCCCCAAGGACAGGGTGTAAAACTGAGACCAGAGAGGCTTTTGCCAGGGCTAACTGACCACTTGCCATGATGAATCAAGGTCCTCATTGCCGTGGGGAGGGAAGAGGTTATGAAGAACTATAAAGAGAAATGCATTTGTTATTTCTTCACAAGCTTTTGAAGGCAGTCGAAAATCTTTTTTAGTTCTTTTACACACACATACAATTGCTCTGATTGGTGGGTTACTACCTAACTGTGTCAGTCTGAAAGAGTTTATGACGGGAATCAGGAAAAAATGAAGTAGCCTGTGAAAAGTCTCCCCTTCTCCATACCTGAGCCTGACGTTGGGAGAAGGTGGACTGCTTATTCTTTTTTTTTTTTTTTTAAGATTTTTATTTATTTATTTGACAGAGACACAGCAAGAGAGGGAACACAAGCAGGGGGAGTGGGAGAGGGAGAAGCAGACATCCCGCCGAGCAGGAGGCCCAATGCGGGGCTCTATCCCAGGACCCTGGGATCATGACTTGAGCAGAAGGCAGATGCGCAACGACTGAGCCACCCAGGCACCCCTGGACCGCTTATTTGGCAGAGCGCTGGCCTATCAGGACAGGCCAGTGTGAGTCTCATTTACATGACAGTCCTTGCCCCCCCCACCCCACTCGTGGAAACCTGTGGCCAGGAATTTGGGATGGGTATCATTCCTTTGAGATACAGACCTCAAACAAAGAGAAAGGGACAAAGCAGTCTTCAGTCTGGGGAAGATGCTGTGATGGTGAGTCCCTGGCCCTGAGGCAGAAGAAAACAAGGACAATCCAAATCATCCTCATCCGAGGGCCCCGGGCAAGGGGAGCTTTAGAAGCCATGGTGTGAATGGGGACCTTCAAATATTCTCAGATCCAAGATCCTTGTTTTGGGGACTATCAGAAAAAGGAGAGTGCAGCCAGCCTACAGGGATCTTACCAGAAAAATCAGACACATGGTGGGAGAGCACCTCTTTCCCAGGGCCCAGGAGCCAGCGAGGGAGGCGGATGGTTAGTTCTAGCCCAACTGCTGGGTGGCAGATTGAAACCAAAGGCCATGTTATGAACCATCTCAAGGGTTTACTCACACCTTAAATCGCTCTTCACAGTCAAGAGTCAGGGAAGCAAAATCTGTATTTGCACAAAATGGTGACTTTTGTCCCTGAAAGATAGATCATGACAGTGAAGATAATTTTACCAGTGAGGATAATTTTATCCCTGTTTGGGGTTATAGTTTCCTCTTTCATTCTTTCTCCCCTACTCCACCATGGCCCCCAACCACTTTCCAAATCTACCATTTGAGAGAGCAAACAGAAAATTAGAGTAGAAAGGAGCTGAGGATAAATGTTTCAGAAAAACGCTGTTTCAGAATGATAGGATGGTTTGCAAATGTGAACAGCAAGCGGGTTTTGCTGGAGACATGTGCATGCTTTTCTTTTTTGGCACAAGGGAGTGTTTATTATTCAGTCAGGGCTTTTCTCTCCGGGTAGCGAGCATCTTTGGAGGAGGATAATCAAAACAAGAAGAAAAGATAAGAGAAACACAGGAGGAATCATTTGAGAGCTTACCATCATCTTCATCGTCATTATCATCATCATCATCATCAATTCCCTTTTCAGGGTGTCTTCTGACCAGCCTAGCTCCAGTCTGTGTCCTAAGCTTATTGGGTGGAATTTTCTATCTGAGAGGAACCACCCAGAATATTCTACAGAGAAAGCTGGGGGAGGAGCTACCCTTCAAGCCAGGGAGCAGCTGCTACTCTGGACCTCCCCTTGTCACAGCATTCCCATTAAGAAGGCTGCTGGCTTTACCTTACATTTGCCTACGGTCTTTAAAGGGATAATGCTTAGCCAATGACATTTGGAAATGATACTTGAACTGGGACCAACACCTTCTGTCTCCAGACCACTTAGCCTGTTCTGGACCCCAGCCCAATTGGCCATGTTGCCTTCCCACTCTCGTCCATCTCCACCCCCACCCCACCCCACCATGATTAGCCTCTAGGGCGAGCTGAGTGAAGACCCTCAAATGTCTTTGTTATGAGGACCATCAGGAGGCGCTCCAGCTTTGCCAACCTTGACCTCATCCTGCAGTTGACTCTGTCCATGTGGCCAAGGTCTATCCTTGCCCTCCAAGGGCCTCACACACAAGCTGAGACAACAAGATGAAGTGCACAGTTGCCAGGGGAGAGATGTGTGAATGCCCCTTGCCAGGGAGCCCGACCCAGGTGTCCATGCTACCGGCATTTTGCTGTACCCTCCTTTCTGTGAAGAGAGCTCTAGGCAAGCGTTTGACAGAAGAGGACTAGAGAGGTCTGAGCACCTGCTGAGGCTAGACTGAAGTTCTTATGTTCTTATTTGCATATTTTGATTCCTGATCTGTCCTGAACATGTCTTTCAGTGTGGCATAATAACTGTTCTGGGTATATGCTTACACAGAGGAGAAATTCTTTTCTAATTAGTAACATGCAATGTCAAAAGCACCCCCAATTCGTCATTTTCCACATCAACCCTTGAGCACAGCTGAGGCGGCTGAGGGGAAAGAGCTCCTTTCAAGAGGAGACAGAAGCCCCCCTGGGCTCTGGAATGGCCAGGAAGCTCAAGGACGGAGGTGTTCTGGGTTCCGCAGGTCACCACTCATAAGGTGTCACCCTGGCCCAGCCCCCGCCGGTTTGTACCTGGATTGTAGAGCAAGAGGGTGTGAAGAAAAGACCAAACAAAAGCAAAATGAGCACTTGTCTCTAATGTTGGAAGTTCTCGGGGGGCACAGGCCATGCGGAAGCTGCCAATGCTGGTATCGGGGTAGCTCCCGTGCCTCTCTCTTAGCTTCTGGTTCTTTCTGGCCATCACTGGCGTCCCTTGGGGCCCCTTCCAGCTGTCAGTGCCAAGGTGGGTGCCAGGAAGGCAAAACGAGGCAGAATGAGGTCAGCTGCCTCCATCTTCACATGATGTTCTCCCTCCGGTGTCTGTCTGTGTCTCCCCTCCTTTTATGAGAGCACCAGTCACACGGCACCATGGGCCCACCCCACTCCAGCATCACTTCATCTTAATTTTATATCTTTGTCACAGTGGCAAAGATCCTATTTCCAAATAAGG